ATTGAAAGTTATTTGATAGATTGGCCACTTCTCATTAACGTGTTGCTTGTTTGTTTTGCACAACATCTCCCGATGTAAAATTGAATAACTTCAACGATCTCACAATCATTTTCAACTTTTTCTTTCGAAACTACATCTTGCGGGAAGTGTCAGATGTTTTGAATCTCTCAATTATTTTGAATTTATTTTTAACATGTGACGAATGTATGTACTGGATGGATGAAGCATTTGTTGAGCAAAAATATATTTTGATTCAAAATAAAAAACTTGTAAGCAAACTTTTAATTTTCCACTATATATTACTATATATTCTTAATAAAACTCACACAGAATGGTACAAATATAACTCAACACCACACGACACACTCAAACACACACTTGCATGCACTCATGAATAAATAAATGAATAGTTTGATTGATTGAACTAATTAATTAATTAATTAATTAGTTAATTAATTCAATGATGGATAATTGAATGAATGAACAAATGAAAGAACAATCAAAAAAAATCAGTAAAACAAATGAACATGAACGAAAGAAGGAAGGAAATATATATGACTAGAGGAAGTGCAACGTATAATTAAGATCACACGATGAGACAACGAAGCGACATACAATTGTCTTGTTTGCCTTGCTAAGTAGATAGGTAGGTAGGTCGGTAAGTATTAAATATTAACAAAATAATTACAAACACACAAAGACAATAACAACAAGTACAACAACCTCAACAACAGCAACAACAACAGCAGCAACAACAGCAGCAGCAACAACAACAACGACAAAGTAATAAAAATGTTATAAAAGTGCAACTGTGTATATAAAACAATATCGTCATTGATAATGTTTTTTTCTATTACATACTCTAGGTACAACTTAAAGATGAGACATCGTCATTAGAGCTGGTAAAAATTTGAACATTAAAAATATACTCACGTTCTATTACAGTAGAATATGAAGTTGATATGTATCAAATTAATATATATATATTGGTTTTATAAAAATATCAATTTATACATATTTAATATTTATTCATTTATATATATATATATATATATATATATATATATATTTGTTGGATAAGACGATATTTTATACAGTATTGTATAAATTCTACCGAGTTGTTGACATTAATCGGTTTAAAGTTTGTTTTTTCAATTTTTCTTACTAGAATTTTTGGAAATCCTTTAATTTATTGAAAATAGAATTATTATCCAAGTTCACCATGAAAATTTAATAAAACAGTTGTTATCCAAACTTATCATGCAGATAGATCTTATTTCGATTTTTCACAAACACAAATCGTCTTCAGTGCAGGATTGGTTTATATAGTTTCTTTAAACAAAGCAAAGTTAGTACTTTAGCAAAGTAAATTGCTTAGTTGGTGTCGTATTCTTCATCTTTGTTGTTGTCATTCCTTTGTTCAACTTGTTATTGAAGTTAGAATTAAGGCGTCGAGTTGGCGATGATGTTATCATTCTTTATTAGATGTTTATTTGGGGTTTATTGATATTTTTTTAAATTTTTAGATGTATTGTGTTAGTGTTTTGATAAATTATTTTGGTGTTGTTGTCAAGAATTTGACGGGTTATTGAAGTTGCATGTGTGGGTATTTGGTCGGTAATGGTGTTGCTATTCTTTATTGATGTCTATGATAAATAAAGATCGCTTCTGTAATTCTTTGATGGATATGGTTCTTGCTACAGTATATTATATTAGTATAGTGTACTAATATCCCTCGTGATGGGATTGTTTGATGTATGGTTTTCAGATGAGTTCAAATGGCTCATTCTGTTTTGTGCAAAGTAAGGCGACGAGATTGGGATGTAGTTGTCACTCCAATAGATGAGTGTTGCTGACGAGTGCATCCGTCAAGAAAGTATTTAAACTCAAATATTAGGTGATTTCTTTCCAGGGTTAAATTTTGGGGAGGCGTGCAATTATTTTTGTTATCAGGTTTGCCGTTTTTGCCTTTTGGTAATAAAGTCTCCGGTTTACTCTATCGTCTCTATTTCTTGGCGTCAAGTTTTTGAATATAATTTTCTTTAGAACAGTTTTGTCTGTTTTAAATGCAGATGAAATGTAGTTTCTGTAGTAGAAAAGTATTTTTTTGCCTTGTTTATTGTTGTTGTTTACGGTTGATGATATCTTGGAGGGCAGCTGTTTTGTAGTTCTTGTAGGCTAGAACTTTGGTGACTAATTAATTCTGCTTCGCGATCGTTTATTGAAGTAGAGTGTGTGAATGCTCTATTTACAAATGAGCTGAGTTTATATATTTTAGTTGCGTCACTTATTCCATTTAGAAATATCCCTTTGTTTGTTTCTTTCACATGGACCGTTGTTTTAAAGCAGTTTTCACCTCGATTGATTATTGCATCCAAAAATGGTAAAGTCTTTTGGTTTTCAAATTCTAAAGTAAATTTTATTTTAGATTTATTAAGAGTAGAAAGAAGATTTTTAATTTAGTCAGGGTTGTCGTACGCAACAAAGATATCGTCGAAGTATGTTGTATTAATTTAGGGTTTAGTTCATGATTTTGTGGAAGGTTTGTTTTTCTAAGTTTCCAACGTAGAAACTGGCTGAAATTACTTCGAGTGGGGAGCCCATGGCGATTCTATCTAATTGTTTGTACATTTTTTCACCGGGGCTATTGAATGGCGTTTCGGTTGTATGTATTATCAATTGATTTTAGTAAGGGTATTACATTTTTCAGACAATTCATGTGGGAGATGTATACCGTAACAAAGATGATAAATATTGTGTTGAGAGCTGGTATCAGTATTTGTCTTGTTGTGAGTTGTGATCATTTTTCATAACACGACATCTATGAACGCCAAAATAAAAATGTTTATCACCTAACAAAGTTTGTCATTTATTATTATATAATTAATTTTCTATTTTGTTTGCTATAATGCTGTATGATGACAGTAACGTGGAAAATTATACTTCTATAGTTGAAAACAAACAAATCTGTATTTAAACATACAAACCAGTAGACACACGAACAAACATTTTTACACACACACAAACACACACACACATGAAACAAACAAACATACATACGCAAACACACACAAACAAACATACACAGACGCACACAAACTAACAAACAAACTTGGGCAATCACACAAACAAACAAACACAAAAACAAACAAACACAAAAAAACTCACAAACAAACACAAAAAAACACACAAACAAACAAACAAACACACAAACAAACACAAACAAACACACAAACAAACAAACAAACACATACACAAACATACGCAGACGCACAAACTCACAAGCCAGCAAACAACTACAAGAACGGCAATCAAGCAGCCCATTCATCAAACAACCTTTGAACCATCGTAGGCAATATGGACAAACAAATAAAAAATATAAGCCACCAAGTGACAATGTGTGTTTCATCTCTCTCTCTCTTGCTTATCTTGGTGATAAATACCATGAAGGAAATAAACTGATGCAATTTTGTGTTCCGTTCAGCCTTCGTTATTCCAGCTTTTCATTTAGGGCTATTACACGTTCAAATTGAATGAATTGAAAATCTGTTTATTAATTTTTTGTCAGTAACCATAGAGGGTCATTCAAATAATGTGATTGGATAAATCAAACCAGAGTTGATAAAGAAAAACAACAACGACAGTAACAACAACAAAATTTTATAACATCATCATCAACAACTACAGAACAATAACAACACATTCATAAACAACAAAAACAACAATATAATAATAATAATAATAATTGTAATGATAGTAATAATAGTAATAATAATAATAGTTTATCCCATCCAACAAAACAATAAATCAACGAAACCCAAATAGAACAACAGCCAGGATATCATACCCACAAGCACATGAATTGAACTAACGCCACAAACATCCACGCTACAACGACAACAACAAGGAACCTCAACTACTACTACTACTACTACTACTACAACTACTACAACTACTACTACAACTACTACTACTACTACTACAACTACCACTACTACTACTGCAACAACATCAACAACCATAAAACTGCAAAGCCAACGATCATAAAAACAAAAGAGGCAATCAATAATAACCCGAAGACCAATCATAAGCCAGCATGCCGACCACGTGATACACAATGTTATGACGTAAGCGTTATGGCGGATTAAAAACGCGCCCTTGCGATTAGCGCCATAAATCACGGTTAAGGTGAGTCGGGGTCGGCTGATAGCTTTGTTGGGACGTATGAATGTTTTTGCGAGGTAGAAAGGTGATGGGGATGATGATGATGCTGATTGTGGAGAAGAAGATGATGGTGACAATTTTAGTGATGATGATGATGATGGTTATCGTGATAATGGTGAGAATGAGGGGGGTTGGGATGGTTGAAAGCTTTGTATGAACTTATGAGTTCCTGGATGATGGTTGTGGTAATGATCCTGTTGGTGAAGGGATGATGATAATGATGGTGTTGATGATGGTGATGAGGATGTCAATAAAGGTGTGCTGATGATGATGGTGATGTGGCTGGCTAGAGAGGACCATGCTAGAGATGATGTTGGTCAGTTTGATGGTGTTGTTTGTCATAAAGGTGATGATCGTCATGCAAGAATATGATGACGATGGTGATAATGACGATGGTCTTGACCGTTGTATTAATGGGGATTAAGGTAGTGCCGATGTTGATTTTATAAAATATGATAAAAATATGGTTAAAGACAGTTACTTTCCATTCAAAGAGCTCGTCGCGATGCCAATAATAAAATCTACTTGCATGTTTGGAGGAATGCTAGCTGGAAGTTGAGCAGCAGGTCTATCGACGCATCCACTTTTATCTACAAACCATTGGCCCGCTCACGTCTGGAAATTTCAGTCCATGTTTGATGTCCATTTAGAGAACGTTCAATGAACGAATTAGAAAAAGTCCAAAGATGAGCTATAAAAATACCTCGGCCTGCCTTGCAAGAATTAAGACTACCACTCAAAATTATTAAAAGTAAATTTTTCTTCATTCTCCTGACTATCGCAGACGCAGAGGTGACTTAATTCTGGCGTGTAAAATTCTTCAGGGTACGTCAGACCCGGCAATTTGTCCTCAGTTGAACCGTCGTGCAGAAGCCAACATGGGAGGTTGCCCCTCCAGTTTATGTGCTCGATTGGCAAAAAAGGGCTGCAGAAAATACTTTCATTTGAGCCGCGCTGTGAGTCCTTGGAACTCGTTGCCTTTCGACGGTGGTCATGCTTCTACACTGGGAATTTTCAAAACTTAACTTGAATTTTTTATGGTGAAAAAGTGTCTTACTTTTTATTTTAATTTTGTTTTAGCATTTTGATTTTATCGTTCAATTTAAAATTTTAGTTTCTATACCGTAAGAAATTTTTCACTTTTTGAACATTTATTTTGGTTTAAAAATTGAACATTTTTGATAGTCTTTTGAAATTCGTTCCATTTTACGGTTTGTATGTTATCTCAGTTGTTCGCCCGAGCTTTGATGATGATGTTGCTGGTGAAAATGATGTTGGATTGTATGGATGATGACGACTGATGGATGGATGATGATGATATTGATTGATGATGATAACAACGATTTAGTTTCGAATAATGTAATTAATATAGTACTGCAAAAAATAATGTAGAGTTGATGATGGAGAAAGATGTGGCCGTTAAAATTTGTCAAAAAAATGGAGTAAGAGGACGTTGGTGATGATGGTGGTGGTGAGGTAGGTGGTGATGTTGGTGGTGAGGTTGGTGGTGATGTTTGTGGTGAGATTGGTGGTGAGGTTGGTGGTGATGTTTGTGGTTTGAGATTACTGTTATGAATGTGATGAAAAATGAGTTTGAATAGAGAAAATGTTCATTTAATGTTATTGTGGAGTCGCGATGTTCATTTAAAAACTGATGTTGGCAAAAAAATTTTATCATTGATGTCCCATGACGACGATGAAAGTGCTGATGATGACGATGATGATGACGATGATGATGACGATGATGA